CATCATGCTCCAGCTGGACACATGAAGGTTCCTGGAGCATGATGCCCCAGGGAGGGCATAGAAGTTCCATGTCCCTTCCCCTTCACCTTGCCCTAAGTCTCTCTCTTCATCTACACCCTTTACAATATCCTTTATAATAAACTCGTAAGCATTAAGTGTTTCCCTGAGTTCTATGAGCCACTCCAGCAAATTAAATCCAAAGAAGGGGTTGTGGGAACCCCAACTTGAATGCAGTTGGTCTGAAGTTCCAGAGGCCCAGACTTGCACCTGTTGTGGTAGGGGGTAGCCCTGGAGACTAAGCACCCAACCTGTGGGATCTGACACTATCTCCAGGTAGATCGTGTCAGAAGTGAATTAGAGCAGCTTGTGTCTGCTGCTTGGTGTTTGGGGAAAAACCTCCACACATTTTGTCACAGAAGTGGATAATTATTGTCATGTGGGAGTACAGAAAAAACACACAGAATTTTCCCTACACAGGACTGTGTTGTCAAAACTCACCAAGTACTGTATTATATACGCTGATTCTTACATGAACAGTCTACTCAATATAACCAGGTATTATCTTTGTAGCTCTACATGTATTTAGATTAAGCATTTAATGTGTATTATCCAACACATTTGCCTATTATCCAACACATTTACCTACTTTATATTTTTTGCTAAATTTATCAAATTTGAAACTGATATTCCTATTTCATAAATAGGAAACATCTTCTTAACAGAGTTAGGTAAGTCTACTCATGATTTAAGAGTTTTTCTTATGTTTAAATTTCTAGTTCTCCTAGAATTTTTTTCATTATATTTAATGATAAAGGATAAATAGCTGATAAACTGGTATATCTAAATTTCATTTTTCTCCATACTTATAACCATTCTCCTAGTGGTAGTTACTAGATGATTTCTTTCCTTTCCTAGGTCTTTCACTTGGTCTCTTTGCTATATCCCGAGATTACATCAATTGAGATCCAACAGCAGCCTTTCAAACTTATAGCCTATTCAGCCTCTCTGGAGTATCTGATAATGAGGAGGAAGCACATGTTGAAAAGGAATCAGTTGATCCGCTCCTGAATTTGATACTGATGTAAACTGGGAGCCACTCACCTTTCTTAATATTAATTTCCTCTCCCTCAAATGTGAGAACAGAGAATGTGTTCCTCAGGGTAACGTTAATCCTTATAAGCTATTTCAAAGTCACCTCACAAACTCTAAGACCGTATTTCCCAAATTATCTTCCTTAGAAAATTAGTTCTGTATATTGCTTTCTCACAAAGGGTTTGAGAGTTAAGAGTTACATAAGTTTGGGAAATGTTGCATACAATACTCAAGTTTTAGAGATTTAGAATGCCCACTAGAACGTTAATGAACTTTGCTTATCCCAAAATTTCTCAAACATTTTAAACTGTAGACCCCAATGACTCCTCCTTTATTTTCTTAAGGTGCATCTATTATTTAGCCTAAGGAGCTGCTTTCCCATGAAACGAACTGTTAGGATGTCCCACACAAACATGCAGATGTCTTTTTAAAGTATTGATTAAAGGATCAGGGGACCTCTCTGGATTCTCATTATTTCCCATTGAAGCTGGTACAGTTTTAAAATCTCCAAAGCTCCCATCCATGCTGGAGAGGACGTGGAGAAACAGGAACGCTTTTACACTGTTGGTGGGAGTGTAAATTAGTTCAATCATTGTGGAAGACAGTGTGGCAATTCCTGAATGATCTAGAAATAGAAATACTATTTGGCTTAGCAATCCCACTACTGGGTATATATCCAAAGGATTATAAATTGTTCTATTATAAAGAACACATTTGACATGATTCTATGTTCTTAAAAAAACAACTTGTACAGGGAAGTAAAGTCATTAATTCCATAAATAATATGAAGTGCCAATTTTGATTCATTTCTGGACTTCCTTTTCCCACTGTCCTATTTTGATACATTACATCAATTATTACTCATTTCATGTCATTACATATTAGGATTGTTTTAAAGTCAGCTAAGCCTCTGCCCCAGTGTTGTTGTTTTACTTGTTTTAAATCACTGCATTTGTTGCAATTTTTTCCACATAAATTTCCCTATCGCTTCCTCAATTTATGCAAACTATATTAGAATTTTAACTGGTATTATACATTAAGCCATGTAGGACATCTTATTTTTAAAATAATTGGTCTTTACAGGCAGGAAGAATAAAAGTTCTTTATTTCTGATATTTAACTTCAGCAATAATCTTCACCAACCTATTCATTCATCCATTATTTATCCATATTCTTATGTACTATTATATTTCTTCGAAAGCCCTTGATTAATATAGAGTATCAGCAAATTAATGGTTTTCCCTACTCCTTCCCGATATTCATACTTCATTTTTTCATGGCTCATTACAGATGTCCAAAACTGTCTTGCACACAAGTGGTGACAGAAAGCACCTAATTCCCTCCTATTTCAAATAAATATCCCTTATTGCATTTTTGCTTTTGGCATTTTACAAGAAATTAATATTATATGTTATTAAATGATATAATATGTTGATACATTAAACACCTTTCTTAGTCAAATGATTAATAATTTTTCTTATATTAAATTGGTTTTAAATTCTTGATACTAACCTTATTTGATCTTTGGTCAACATATTTTGTAATGTGTGGCTATGGTCTGTCAGCTAAAATTCTTATTTAGAATTTATTTACCTGTGGGTATGTAAGTGTGTATGTATTTTTTTTAAGATTTGGAGATAGGCCTGTGGTGAGCTTTATTTTGGGCTAATCCCTGCTTCTCGTAAGTGACTTTTCACACACTTATCACCTAGTCTATTGTAATTTTGAGAAACATAACCATAAGGAGACAAAATAATTAAGAAGGCAAAGTTATATGGTTTTTTGCTTTTTCATCAATTCCATATCATCAGGAGTAACTAAATAAAACGTATTTCAAAGAAAGAAGTCAAATTAAATTACTGTCATTGCCCATTAATAAAAACAACAATCCCAGTCACATAATTTAACAGGGAAGACAGAAAGATGATAGATTCATTGCCTGACTACACTGGCATAACTCACTTTAACAAAAATTATCATATTTAATAATCAAAAAGTGTAACCATTTATAGCTAAATATTACACACATGATTAAGGCCAACTCTGAAGGATTTCTAATTCATCCACTTGCTTATTCACTATTATACATGAAGCACTACTCTAGGTGCAGGGTCATTATAAACAAGTTTTCTGTTCTTCTTTTTCTTTTTTTTTTTTTTTTTAAGATGGAGTTTCACTCTTGTTGCCCAGGCTGGAGTGCAATGGCATGATTCCAGCTCACCACAACCTCCACATTCTGGGTTCAAGTCATTCTCCTGCCTAAGCCTCCCGAGTAGCTGAAATTACAGCCAAGCATCGCCATCCCCAGCTAATTTTTTGTATGTTTAGTAGAGATGGGGTTTCTCCATGCTCAAACTCTCGACCTCAGGTGATCTGCCCACCTCAGCCTCCCAAAGTGCTAGGATTACAGGCGTGAGCCACTGCGCCCGAACACAAACAAGTTTTTTCTTCCAGAAACGTAAAAGCTAGTACAAGCACTGAAAAACATTTTCTGTAAAAGGCCAGATGACAATATTACAGGCTTTGGGGGCCCATACAGTCTCTGCTGCCAACTACTCAAGTCTGTCACTGTAGGGCGAAGAGTCATAGACAGTATACAACAAATGAGCATGGCTGTGGAAGAAAACTTCATTTACAAAACAGGTGGTAGGCCAGATTTTGCCCATGCACTTGTTTGCAAACCCATTTACTAGTGGAAAACAATAAACTAACTAGCAATTTCAACCTTATGTGACAAATACAAACAGATGTAACCAAAGTATGGGAATATGACCTAAGACAATCAAAGGCTTCTTACGAGGAGGAACAATCCAACTAAAGACTTCAATTTCTCAAATTCAGCAAATAAAAGTAGCTTTTTATTAAAAAAAAAAAAAAAAAGCTGTGTAACCATTATAAAACAATTCAAAATCTCATTCTGAAAATGTACAACATACTTGATTATAAAAGAATTGCTTTAATATATGATATTCTCTACTGTTTCTCAAAATTATACCATAAGCACACTTGAAAGCTTACCTCGAGTGACTGTTTTGAGAACAATTAAGGTTGATAAAAATCTCAATGGCAAATTGGAGCTCTTAAAGAAAGCAGCTGTCTTTGGTTTATTCTCCAGAGAATGCTCTAAAGAACTATCCTGGATCCCTTTAGTTACCACTCCTTTGAAAATGTCTTCACCCAATCTCCTCAATGTTGATGTCATAGTCGAGTGCTGTTAAAAATATGTACAATCTTAGTATAATTATTCATGTTCAGAATATATATCTTTTTTTTTCTTTTCTTTTTTTCTTTTTTTTTTTTTGAGACAGAGTCTTGCTGTCACCAGGCGCCAGGCTGGAGTGCAGTGGCACGATCTCGGCTCGCTGCTGCAACCTCCGCTTCCTGGTTCAAGCCTCAGCTTCCCAAATACCTGGGACTACAGGCATGCGCCACCACGCTCAGCTAATTTTTGTATATTTAGTATAGATAAGAGTTTCACCATGTTGGCCAGGGTGGTCTCAATCTCTTGGCCTCATGATCCACCCGCCTCAGCCTCCCAAAGCGTTGGGATTACAGGCATGAGCCACTGCGCCTGGCCTTTTTTTTTTTTTTTTTTTTTTGAGACACAGTCTTGCTCTGTTGCCCAGCTTGGAGTGCAGTAGTGCAATCATGGCTCACTGCAGCCTCAAACTCCTGAGCTCAAGCAATCCTCCTACCTTAGCCTCCCACTGGGACTACAGGCACTCACCACCACACCTGTTTTTGTTAGTTTTTTTTTTTCTTTTTTTTTTTTTTTTTAATTAAGATGGGGTTTCACTGTGTTAGTCAGGCTGGTCTTGAACTCCCAACCTCAGGTGATCTGCCCACCTTGGCCTCCAAAGTGCTTGGATTACAGGCGTAAGCCACCACGCCTGGCCTCTGTTGGGTTTTTTTTTTGGTAGAGATAGGGGTCTCACTAAGTTGCTGAGGCTGGTCTCAAACCCTTGGGCCTAAGTGATCTTCCTACCTTGGCCTCCCAAAATGCTGGGATTACAGGATTATGAGCCGCTGAACCTGGCCAATAACTATTTTAAATATTAAATCAAATATATGTATTAAAAGTAAGTGAATCTGTGGCTAATTTTAAAAAAATGAAGTTGAAAATATGCAAAATCGGAAAGTGGTAGTTTTATTGTCAACATAAAAAATTATTTAAGTATGACTGTATATTTTTCTAAAACATATAAGAACATAAAATCAAGCTATATTTCTGACAGAGAAATATCAAGGGAACTTCAGAGGTGCACTACCTACTCTCTCAGTTACTGACTGCTCTACCATCAGCTTATCAGGCACATCTTTCTGTGTTCGCTTATGAAATGATTATCACTGCCCTCTGCTTAGTCTGACTACAAAAATCATAGTGACTCCAAAAACTTTTAGCAATTTCTAAACAGTAAAATACTGGGTTAGAATCATGGATGATTCTCATGGAGAATAAAAAAAAAAAAAGGGCAAAACAGAAATAGTGTCATGAAACTACTTCTAAAATAATATATGATCTAATGGTATTTGATATTAAGAATTAAGAATCAAATGAAAGGAATGCATTTCAAACTGCTGCAGATCAGAATGTTCAACCCAGATTTAGAAACAACTTAAAATTTCCTTTTTTATGGCCCAATTCCTAAATCTCACATGACTGAGTTTTATAGCAGTTTTCCCATCTGCATGGAAATTTGTGACCGACTGGTTCCTAACTCAGTATTGATCCTGCAGTGTGTTAAATTTCTGCATGTAAAATTAAAAACAAATCTATTGAGGTTTTGCGGGTGTCAAAAGGCCAAATGGTTGAGTGGTGAGACACACAAGCAGTGCGATCTAATTTAATATACTGTTAATACAATCTTAATATTATTAGAAAAAATAATACTTATGTGTTTCTAAACTTATGTGTAAAAAATAGAAAAAATGTTCAAAACTCTACTTACAATAAGTGTGTTAAAATGGCAGGATTAAGGTAAACTTTTTTTGTTTTCAAAATTATCTCTATTGCTTTACTACTACACTTTTATAATGAAACAAATAAAAATTAAAAAAAATACGGGCAGTATTTACCTTTAATTCAAGGAAAAGAGAAAAAAATCCAAAATAACACTCTGGGTTGTTGCTGAAGCTTCGCCTGAGGATGCTGAACCTTTTTGCTAAAGCAAATCTAGACCCAAAATGTCTAGTTTTCAATCTAAAATCACCCATCATTCCAAGAACCAGAAAGATTTCAAACTGAATGAAAAAAAGACAATCAACGGCTGCCAACACCAACAGCACAGAATGTCAGAATTGTCTGACAGAGAGTCTAAAGCAGCCATGACAAAAGGATCACCTGCATGCACTTTTAGAAAATCTCATCAAAGAAACAGAAAGCCTTACCAAAAAAAAACACAGAAAAAGAAACAAGTAGATATCTCAGAACTGGAAATACAGTTAATAGTCTCAATAACAGAATGGAGGAGATGGATTAAAGAATAACTGGAAAATAAAACAACGGAAAACACCCAACCTGAACAACTGCAAACAACCTGGAAAAGTAACAAAAACAACAACAACCAGAACTTCAACGAATAACAAAACATCTAAAATCATGTCATTAGAGTCCCAGGAAAGGAAAAATCAAGTAGGGTTGAAAAAGTACTTGAAGAAGCTGGGTGCAGTGGCTCACCCCGGCACTTTCAGAGGCCACGGTGAGAAGATCACTTGAGCCTAGGAGTTCAAGAGCACCCTGGGCAACAGAGGGAGACCCTGTCTCTATGAAAACAAAACATTAGCTGAGCAAGGTATCACATGACTATGGTCCCAGCTCGAGCCCAAGAGAGTAAGGCTGCATTGAGCCATGATTGCACCACTGCACTCCAACCTGGGCAACAGAATGAGACCCTGTCTCAAAAAAAAAAAGAAAGAAACACATACACATGCACACAAAACATGAACTTCAAGAAACAATAATTGAAAACTTCCTGGACTTGGCAAAAAAATGTGCCCAGAGACTGAAGAAGCTAAGTAAACACCAAACAGGCTAAATATAAAGAGATCAACGCCAAGACCCATCATAGTCAAACTTATAAAAATTAAAGAGAAATGTGTGTAAGAAAAATGACACCTTACATATATGGGGAAAATAACTCAAATACAGCCGATTTCTCATCAGAAACCATGAGGGCAGAAAGAATTGGCCCATTTTTCAAGTACTGAAAGTAAAGAATTATCACCCTAGAATCTGATACCCAGTGAAAATATCCTTCAGGAATTAAAAGAAATCAAAATATGTTAGGAAAAATTAAGAGGATGTGTCATCAGCAAACCTACTCTAGGCCAGGCACAGTAGCTCACACTTGTAATCCCAGCACATTGGGAGGCTGTGGCGGGTGGATCACTTGAGGAATTCAATACCAACCTGGCCAACATGGCAAAACCCCATCTCTACTACAAATGCAAAAATTAGCTGGGCATGGTGGTGGGAGCCTGTAATCCCAGCTACTTGGGAGGCTGAGGCAGGAGTATCGCTTGAACCCGGGAGATGGAGGTTGCAGTGAGCCAAAATGGTGCCACCGCATTCCACCCTGGAGGACAAGAGTGAGACTTCACCCCGCTCCCAAAAAATCCTAAATTAAAATAAATGGAATACCAAGAACTATTAGAAAAGTTATACAAAGAGATACACTCAATACAGTATAAATAAAGAAAAATAAAATTCTAAAAAACATTCAAGAAACCAATAAGAAAGCAGAAAAAAGAACCAAAGAAATGAAAAAGAGAAACAAAAAGAACCACCCAGTAGTTAAAAAAATAAAGTTATAGTTTAAGCCTAACATATCAATAAGTACATTACATGTAATCGGCCTAAAACACCAATTAAAACACAGAGCTTGACAAAGTTGATTTTTTCTAAATCCAGCTATATGATGTTTATTTTTTTTTTTTTAAACTCACTCTAGATACAAGCAGGTCAAAAGAAAAAGACTGGGAAAAGATACATTATCAGAACATGAATCAAAGGAAGGCAGAAGTTTCTCTATTAGTATCAGATAAAGAGACTCAGAGGCAATGCAAATGATCAGAGACAGAGAAGGACATTATAAAATGCTAAAAGGGCAAATCCACCAAGAAGACATAATCCTAAACGTACAAGCACAAAGCAACAAAGTTACAAGATATGTGAGGCAAAACAGATGAAGCTTATAACATATACATCTACAATTATAGCTGGAGACTTCAACATCCATCTGCCTCTCCACATTTGACTGAACAGGACAAAATTATCAGCAAGGATACAGCAAAACTCACAAATACCATCAACCAATGGGATCAAATTGACATTTATGCAACATTCCACCAAACAACTGAATATACATTCTCAGCCATAAAACAACCTCAACAACAAAGCTAAACTAGAAAAAGAGAAAAATAACAGAAAGACTCACAACAAACTTCTAAAGAATTCAAGGGTCAAGCCAGGTGCAGTGGCTCACACCTGTAATCCCAGCACTTTGGGAGGCCAAGGTGGGCGGATCACTTGAGGTCAACACGGTGAAGCCCTATCTCTACTAAAAGAAAACACACACACAAAAATTAGCCGGGCACGGTGGTGGGCACCTGTAATCCCAGTTACTTGGGAGGGTGAGGCAGGAGAATCACTTGAGCCCGGGAGGCTGAAGTTGCAGTAAGTCAAGATTGTGCCAGTGAACTTGTGCCACTGAACTTGAGCCTGGGCGACAGAGTGAGTAAGACCCTGTCTCAAAAAGAAAAACAGAAAAAAATAAATGAAACAAAGAGATGATCCTTTGAAAGATCAATAAAATAGAGAAACAGAGAAACTTCTAGCAAAAAAGACAAAGTAAAGAAAGAAAACACAAATTATCCTTAACAAAAAGGAACCAAGGCTATCACTACAGATACTGAAGACATCGAAAGGATAAGAGAATACTATGAAAAACTCTGCACTCATAAATTTGCATACATTTGAACAGTTCAATTCCTCAAAAAGCACAAACTACTACAAATCATCAATATGAATTACATAACCAGAACAGCTCTCTATTAAAGAGCTTAAATTCATAATTTAAAACCTCCCCTAAAAGAAATCTCATCAAGACAGTTTCACTGAATTATTCTACCAAATGTTTAAAGAAGAATGAACACTAAGTCTACATAATTTCTTCCAGAAAACATAAAGGATAAGACACTTCCCTATTCATTTTATGAACTTAATATTGCCCTGATACAAAACCAAAGAGAGTTTAAAACTATAGATAAATATCTCTCATTAATATAGAAACAAAAGTCCTTAACAAAATGTTAGCAAATAGAATTTGCTAATATAGAAATATATAAAAAGAATTAAACATCACAACCAAGTGAGTTTTATTTCAGAGATGCATGGCTAATTCAATATTTCAAAGTCAATGTAATTCATATTAACAAGTTAAAGATGAAAAAGAACATGTGATCTCAATCAATGCAGAAAAAGTATTTGAAAAATTTCAACAGCATGATTTTTAAAAACTCAGAAAAACAGGAATACAGGGGAACTTGATTAAAAATATCTATGAAAATACTACAGCTAATATTGTACTTAGTGATGGCAGAATGAATGGTTCCTATTTTTTTTTTTTTTTTAAGATGGGGTTTCTCCATGTTTGTCAGTCTGGTCTCCAACTCCCGACCTCAGGTGATCTGCCCGCCTAGGCCTCCCAAAGCGCTGGGATTACAGGCGTGAGCCACCGCACTCAGCTGGTTCCTCCTAAGAGGATGAAGGCTCTCACCACTCATATCAACATACTGTTAGAAACTCTAGCTAATGCAGTAAGGTTGGAAAAGGAAATTGAAGGCATACATATCAAAAGGAAAAAAAAAACACTGTCTTCATTTGTAGATAACATGATTTTCCATGTAGAAAATCCTTGCCGGACAAAGTGGCTCATGCCTGTAATCCCAGCACTTTGGGAGGCTTAAGGCAGGCAGATTACCTGAGGTCAGGAGTTCAAGACCAACCTGACAAACATGGAGAAACTCCATCTCTACTTAAAATACAAAAAAGTAGCCGGGCATGATGGCACATGTCTGAAATCCCAGCTACTCGGGAGGCTGAGGCAGGAGAATCACTTGAGCCTCGGAGGTGGAGGTTGCAGTGAGTCGAGATTACGCCACTGTACTCCAGCCTGGGCTACAGAGCAAGACTCCATCTCAAAAAAAAAAAAAAAAAAAAAAGAAAATCCTGAGGAAGCGGAAGCTTCAAGAAAGCTCCTAAAACTAATAAGGTCAATGTCACAGTATACAAAATAAACAAAAATCAATTTTATTTCTACACATGATGAATGAACATGTAAACATCAAAAGTAAAAAGACAATATCAATCAAAATTACTCCAAAAATTTAAATACTCAGCAAAAATCTAAACAAGAATGCAGCAATTTTATGATGAAAACTATACAACATTGATAAAGTTCTAAATAAAAAGGCATTTTATGTTCATAAAAATTGGAAGACTCAACAAAGGAAAGATGTCAATTCTTCTCAAATTGATAAGTAGTTTTTACACAATTCCTATGAAAATCCCAGCAAGATACCTTACACATAGGGAAGATTATTCTAAAATACAGAGAATATATTCAAAACAGATATTGTGAAACAAGATCAAGAAGTAATATTAAGTGGAGTATTACTTGAAGATAAATTCCTATTAACCAATTACCTGTGTTCCAGCATCTAGCTGCCTTAGGGACCAATATATAAATTTTACAAAAGGCTCATGAAGTTTGGTGTTCACAAATGGCATCCACTGTAGCTGCTCTGTCATCAGAGGCAAAAGCTAAAGATAAAATGATGGAAAATAAATATAAAGGCACAGTATTTTTAAATTTCTGAAATCAACTACCGCAATTTTCCAAAATTAACTTTAAAAAAAAGAGTTCTCCAACAAAAAACCTTCACTTTAAAACTATATGCAATACAATTTAGCAATATGTAATTGAAGTTTTATATATGCATTTTCTTTCATCCAGCAATAACAGCACATCTAGTTTAAGGAGACTAACCTACACAAAGATACTCTCTGAACCTTAAATGGTTAAATACATTTACAATACATATGTAACCATTAAAAATTATAGCCTAGATTCACATTTATTGCCATGGCATATTCTGGTATGAAAAAAAGGTGTTTGTAAGCAAATGGAATAAAAATCTCATTTACATAAAATGTGTCTATATAAATTTATATTGAAAAAGATATATGAAAGGATTATTTTTAAAGCTGGATTTCAGAAACTGGAATAATATTTACTTTTTTTACATGTCTACATTGCATGCATATCTTAATATGTTAATTTATAAAAATAATATTAAAATGTTTAAAGATGTCTATGAACTTTGCTTCAAAATAGCATAATTTTGCTAAATGATTTCAGGACCATAAAGATAGTCTAAGGCTCTAACAGAATATTCCCACTTCTGAGATACCAGCCTAAGAAAATCATTTGAAGAAAATCCCTCCAAAAGCCATGTACAAAGATATTTATTGCTACACTGTTTATGAGTATAAACCTGAAAGTAATTGTATAGCAATAGAAAAATGAATATATCAACTGTATAAAGATTCTTTGGACTAATGATTATGCGTATATTGTGTTTATTTAGATATATGTATTTTTAAAAATTTTCTGGAGCCAGGAGTGGTGGCTTATGCCTGTAATCCCAGCACTTTGGGAGGCCAAGGCAGGTGGATCACCTGAATTCAGGAGTTCGATACCAGTCTGACCAACATAGAGAAACTCTGTCTCTACTAAAAATAATTAGACAGGCAAGGTGATGCACGCCTGTAATCGCAACTATTTGGGAAGCTGAGGCAAGAGAATCACTTGAAACCAGGAGGCAGAGGTTGCAGTGAGCCAAGATCACACTATTGACTCAAGGCTGGGCAACGAAATCTCTGTCTCAAAAAAAAAAAAAAAAAAAAAAAAGTTTGTATATTATGATGTTTTGACATCTTAAAAAACCTTTCCAGTTGGGGAGAGATTGATCCTCCCTGGACCAGCCAATTCTTAAATATAGCAAAGTGCTCAGCCCAGAGTATGCCTCTGACAGACAAAATTCAGAGCCAGACCAATATTCTCTGCAATAATCTTACCAGAGTCACTAGGAACCACCCCTAGAGCTTAGTACCAGTCAAAATTATTCTAATTAGCCAATCCTATTTGTTCACCCTGCCCTGTATTTTCTTTCATGTGGAAACCACAATAAAGGGTCTGCCCAATGCTTTCCCCTTGGCTCCTGTCTTCCTACCATCTGACCACTCTGGTGTCTTTAAGAAAAAATTATAGATACCTCTTAAGTTGAAAAATGTCTAAGTAGTATTTTTATGGAAGAATGAAATTTGGAAGCCATATACTCTCTTATGGTCGTAAGCTCAGTAAAACTTACTTCTCTCCCCAACTTTTAGATAAAGTCATGCATCAGTTAATGACAGAGATGCACTATAAAAGAATAAATGGTAAATTCATCAGCCAGTAACATGGTTGTTTAATTATCAAGTAGTGTGTACTGTACATAAGTGTGTGTACTATATGTTTATATAACTGGCAGCACAGGTTTGTTTACATCAGCATCACCACAAACATGTGAGTAATGAGTTCTGCTACAACATCATGACTAGCTATGATGTCACAAAGTGACAGGAAATCTTCAACTCCATTATAATCTTTTTTTATATATTATTTTTTCTTCAGTCTATTATAATTGTATGGGACCACCATAATAAATATACTCTACCATTGTCCCAAACATCATTATGCAGTGGATGGCTGTAGACTGAAAGGGTTATAGACCGTGACTAAGTGAGATTTATTCCTGCAATGCAAAGATGGTTTAACATTTTAAAAAACTAGTGAAATACACTATTTTAACAAAATGAAGGACAAAGCCCACATGATTATTTCAATTGACAAAGAATAGTTGCTGAACAAGATTCAACACCCTTTCATGATAAAAATACTCAACAAACTTAACAGAGGGAAGCCACCTCGATATAATAAACACTATATATTAAAAGCCCACAGATTTTACTATAAAGGTAAAAGAATGAAAGCCTTTACTACAAATTAGGAACAAGACAAGGAGGCACGCCTTCATCACTTCTATTCACCATAGTACAAGCCAGGGAAACCAGGTAAGAAAAAGAAATAACAAGGATCCAAATTTGAAAAGAAGAAGTAAAATCATTTCTCTTCTCAGATGGCATGACCTTATATGTAGAAAGAATTGTGGAATCCTAAATATTCCACAATTTAAAAAAATGTTAGAATATACAAATTCAGCAAAGTTGCTGAATACAAAATAAATACTCAAAAATCAGATGTGTTTCCATACACTAACAATGAACAATCCAAAAAGGAAATTAGGAAAACAGTTCCATTTACAAATAGCATCAACATTAATAAAATACTTAGGAATAAACCTAAGCAAGCAGGCAAAAAACGTATACACTAAAAACCACAAAACAGTGAAGAAAAAAATTAAAATAGACACAAATAAGTAGAATGAAATTTTATGTTCATGGGTTAGAAAACTTAGTATTACTAAGGTGTCCATACTACCCAAAGCTATCTACAGATTTGATGTAATCTCTACCAAAATCCACATAGCATTCAGTTTTTCAAAAATTGAAAATGGAACTATCAAATGATCTAGCAATCCCATTATGGATATATGTCCAAAAGGATTAAAAGCACGATCTTGAAGGGATATTTGCAAGCCCATATTCATATCAGCACTATTCACAATAGCCATGAGATGGTAGCTGCCCAACTATCCATCAAAGAATGATACATAAAACTCTTGAAAGAAAACATACAGGTATTTTACTGTGGTTTTGTATTTCCTTACAGATTAGTGATATTAAACATCTTTCTATGTGATTAGGGGTCATTTCTGTATCTTTGGAGAAATATCTACTTAGGTTATTTGCTTGCATTTTAAAAAACAGGTTTTTTTGGCTTTGTTTTTTACTGAATTGAAAGAGTTCCTTATATATTGTGGGTAGCAATTACTTGTCAGATACACAATTTGAAAATATTTCCTCCCATTCTGGTGACTGCCATTTTACTCTGCTGATGCACAAATGTTTTTGATTTTGATGAAGTTCAGTTTATTTTTGCTCTTGTTGCCTGTCCTTTTAGTGTCTTAGCCATGTAATCACTGCCAAATCTTATATTATGAATTAGGAAAGGAGGAAATCAAATTGTCTTTATTTGCAGACGACATGATTGTATATTTATAAGACTCCATCGTCTCAACCCAAAATCTCCTGAAACTGATAAGCAACTTTGGCAAAGTCTCAGGATACAAAATCAATGTGCAAAAATCACAAGCATTCCTATACACCAATAACAGACTTAAAGAGAGCCAAATCAAGAGCGAACTGGCATTCACAATTGCTACAAAGAGAATAAAATACCTAAGAATACAACTAACAAAGGATGTAAAGGACCTCTTCATGAGAACTACAAACCACTGCTCACCAAAAGAAGAGAGGACACAAACAGATGGAGAAACATTTCATGCTCATGGTTAGGAAGAATCAGTATTGTGAAAATGGCCATACTGCCCGAAAGTAATTTATAGATTCAACGCTATCCCCATCAAGCTACCAATGACCTTCTTCACAGGAACTGGAAAAAACCACCTTAAACTTCATATGGAACCAAAAAAGAGCCTGTATAGCCAAGACAATCCTAAGCAAAAAGAACAAAGCTAGAGGCATCATGCTACCTGACTTCAAACTATACTACAAGGCTACAGTAATCAAAACAGCATGGTATTGGTATCAAAACAGAGATATAGACCAATGGAACAGAACAGAGGCCTCAGAAGTAACGCCACACATCTCCAACCATCTGATCTTTGACAAACCTGACAAAAACAAGCAATGGGGAAAGGATTCCCTGTTTAATAAACGGTGTTGGGAAAACTGGCTAGCCGTGTGCAGAAAGCTGAAACTGGACCCCTTCCTTACACCTTATACAAAAATTAACTCCATATGGATTAAAGATTTAAACATAAGACCTAACACCATAAAAACCCTAGAAGAAAATCTAGGCAATACCATTCAGGACGTAAGCATAGGCAAGGATTTCATGACTAAAACACCAAAAGCAAAAGCAACAAAAGCCAAAACAGACAAATGGGATCTAATTAAGCTTAAGAGCTTCTGCACAGCAAAAGAAACAATCATTAGAGTGAACCGGCAACCAACAAAATGGCAAAAAAATTTTTGCAAGTTACCAATCTGACAAAGGACTAATACCCAGAATCTACAAAGAACTAAAACAGATTTACAAGAAAAAAAAAAAACCATCAAAAAGTGGGTGAAAGATATGAACAGACAGTTTTCAAAAGAAGCCATTTATGCAGCCAACAAACATATGAAAAAAAGCACATCATCACTGGTCATTAGAGAAATGCAAATCAAAACCACATTGAGATATCATCTCATGCCAGTTAGAATGGCAATCATTCAAAAATCTTGAGACAACAGATGCTGGAGAGGATATGGAGAAATAGGAACGCTTTTATACTGTTGGTGGGAATGTAAATTAGTTCAACCATTGTGGAAGACAGTGGTGATTCCTCAAGGATCTACAAATAGAAATACCATGTGACCTAGCAATCCCATTATAAATCATTCTATTATAAAGACACGTACACACAAATGTTCATTGTGGCACTGTTTACAATAGCAAAGACTTGGAACCAACCCAAATGCCCATCAACGATAGAATGGATAAAGAAAATGTGGCACATACACACCATGGA